CCCATCCCATCCCATCCCATCCCATCCCATCCCATCCCATTCATCCCATCCCATTCATCCCATCCCATCCCCATCCCCATCCCATCCTACCCCATCCCATCCCACCCCACCCCATCCTATTCCATCTCACCCCATCCTCCTCCCCATCTCCAAACCTGTGCCCATCCCATTCCATTCCATCCCACCCAATCCCATCCCTAAACCTGTGCCCATCCCCATCCCTATCCCCATCCCCAAACCTGTCCCCATCCTATTCCTATCCCCATCCTCATCTCCATGCCCAGATCTGCGTCCATGCCATCCCATCTCATCCCCAAACCTGTACCCATCCCAACTCATTCCATTCCATCCCATCCCATCCCCAAATCTGTGCCCCATTCCATCCCATCCCCATCCCATTCCTAAACCTGTGCCCATCCCCTCCCATCTCCATCCCCATCCCCAAACCTGTGCCTGTCCCATCCCCATCCCATCCCCATCCCCATCCCCATCCCCATCCCCATCCCCATCCCCATCCCATCCCATCCCATCCCATCCCATCCCATCCCATCCCTATCCCATCCCCAAACCTGTGCCCATCCCATCCCCATCCCATCTCATCCCACCCCATCCCCAACCCTACCCCAAACCCACCCCCCTCCCCACACCTGTGCCCACACCACCCCACCCCACACCTTGCCGTCGCTCTGCCTCTTGCCCAGCTTGGTCTCCTCGGGGTGGTAAAACCACTTCACCTTCACCACCATGTTGCTGCCCCAGGACTCCCACATGCTCTCGATGCGCCCGATGTAGGGCAGGTTGGGCCGCCCAGCCGACAGGAAGACGGCGCAGTCCCCGATGCGCAGCGTCTCCTTGCCCCGCACGATGGCCTTGTAGAACAGCTTCCGTGCCTTCCCCTTCATGCCCCGCCGCTGCAAGGAGCACCCGGTCAGAGCACTGCAGACCCCGACCCCACGCATCCCACAGCACTCTCCACCCACCCTGTGCTCACACCCAGCATCCTGCACCCTGCACTGCATCTGCACACCTGCAGGTTGTGCTTCACGCTCCATGCGCTCTCTCGAAGCGCCCTGCACCCGTGGATCCTACCCACTGCACTCTGCTCTGTGCACCGTGGGCCTGCACAGCCACAAGACTGTGCCCAAAGCACTCTGCATCCACAGATCCTACCCCGCGCACCACGTTCCATTCACCACGCTCATCCATGCACCTTGCATCCTTCTGTGCCTTTCTGCACCTACACACCCCTCACCATGCTCCAAGCACTCTGCTCAATGCCCCCCTCATCCAGACATGCATCCACATACCCTGCACTCCCTCTCAGCCATGCACCAGGCACACTGCACCACGCTCTCTGCACCATGCGCCCTGCTGTGCCACAAACACTGTTCTACACACCCTGCACGCTGCCATGCAGCCACGCACCCCCAGATGCTGCTCTGAGCACCGTGCCCCACACACCACACCCCCACACCTTCACTCTGAGCGCCCCACTGCTCTGTGCCCACGGGGCCAACCGTACCTGCGTGGGGTTCCCCGACCACCTCCAGAGCTGGCGCGCGGGCAGGAAGGCGGAGATCTTTGGCCGGTTTTCCACCGAGGGCAGCCGCTGCCTCCGGGAGAACTCTTTGGCTTTGGAGAAGCTGAGGGCCTCCTTGCGCTTGAGCTTGGCCTTGGGGCCGGCGGCGGCCGCCTTGGTGAGGAAGCAGCGCTGCGGCGCGGAGCCTTTGGAGCGCAGAGCTTCGGGTTGCGCCAGCAGCGCCGGCACCGGGTGCGAGAGGCAGGTCTGCAGCAGCAGAGCCGAGTCCTCGTCCTCCGAGCTGTACGACGAGTCCTCGTTGTCGGAGGAGCAGAGGCTGGAGGTGGAGATGGAGCCGGAGCTGGAGGAAGTGGAGGAGCCCGAGGAAGAGGAGGACACCGACAGGCGGGTCATGAAGCGCGAGGGCACGTCGGCACCCAGCCCGCCCGCATCCTCCTCCTCATCCATGTCCGAGTACGAGCTGTGGCAGTCGCTGTCGCAGTTCAGGCTGAACTCGGCCTGACCCGAGTACTTCCGCAGCGCCAGCCCCACAGGCAGCGGGTGCACGGCCGCCCTCCCCTTCCTCTCCTTGCCCAGCGCCGAGTGCGGGTAGCTGCTGGCCAGCGGCCGCTCCAGCTTGGCCCCAAAGTCCTTCTCGCCCAGCAGCAGGGCCTTGCAGTTCTTGTTCTTGGGGGACGTCACCCCTTCGTGGTCCAGCTTCACCAGGAACTCGCCGCCAGCCCTGCGCCGGCTGCCTTTGCCCATCTCAGCCTCCAGCCGCTCCGCCTTCTTGCAGCGCAGCAGCTTCTGCGCGGTCGGCAGCACCAGCCCGGCGCCGGCTCCGAAGGACGCGTAGGAGCTGGCGATGCGGCTGAACGAGTCGGCCCCGAAGCCGTTGCCGAAGACGGGAGCGGCGACGTGGTGGTGCACGGGGAACAGGGCCTCCTTGGCACGCAGCTTCTTGGTGCTGCCGTTCACCTGGAAGAGGTTCTGCAGCACGGCCGTGCCTTTGCTCGCCGCCTTCCGCTTCGTCTGTGCCACCGCCGACCAGCTGAGCAGAGGGCCGCCCTGCCGCCCCAGCGCCGGCGCACGGCTGCCCGACAGCAGCTCCAGGGCTTTGCCTGAGGGGGGGACGGCGGTCACAGCCTCAGTTCCGAACCGCATCCCCTCCTCCTGCGCCCCTGCCTCTCCTCCCCATGCCTGCGTCTTTCCCTGCCTCCCCTCTCCCTGCCCGCATCCCTGACTCCTGCTAACCTCCCCATCTGCATTCCCTCCTTCCCTGCATGCCTTCTCCATGCCCGCATCCTTGCATCCCCTCTCTTCTCCTTTCTGTGCCTGCATCCCCTTTCCCTGCATCCCTCCATCTCCCCCCCATGCCTATCTCCCCACATCCCCTCTCCCTGTCTTCTCCCCTCCTCCACGCCACCAACCTCACAACTTCCTCTATCCACCCGCACCCCACCAACTCTCACATCCCACCACGCTGCCCCACGCCTGCACCTCTGCTCCTCCACAACATCCCCTCCCTCACTGTTGCTAACGCCCAGCCACCCCATACTTGTACCCCGCACCCCATACCGCTTTTCTCCTTGCAGATCGCCTTCTTGCCCGAACTCCTGGGGCCTTTGGGGCCGTCGTGCCTCTCGGTGCACAGTCCAGGGGGCAGCTCGCCAGGGGAAGCCACATCACCACAGGAGCGCTTGTTCCGCCGGCACGAGCTGGACACCAGCAGCGCAGGGGACGGCTCTGTGCCTGCGGGCAGAGCGGGGCTCAGTGCTATCCACACACCATCTCCACAGCCCCATCCCATCCCCATCCCACTCACACTGGATCTTGAAGTCAGGTGGCAGCAGACGGATGTTGGACACGGCGATGTGCCCCGTGTCCCCATCATCGAACTCCACCATCACCGCCTCGGGGTCGTCCTCCTCCTCGTCGCTGGAGGAGCCTGCGGCAGAGCAGGACGTGGGGCCGGGGCTGGACAGGGCCGTGCCCCCCACCCCGCTGCTGCCTCCACCACCCCTCACCTTGCACCACGTTCCCTGGGTACAGGCAGCGTGACTTCTGGCTCCAGTAGGCGCAGACGCGGGTGCCGGGAGGAAGGCTGCGCCGTGACTGTGGCCGCACGTCCAGGACCTGTGGGCATCACCGGGCTGTGTGAGCCCTGTCCCCATCCCCATCCTTGTCCCCAAAGCCATTCCCCATCCCCATCCCTTTAGCTACTGGCTGGACCTGAAGACATTTGCACTAGGTGAACTTTGAAGGTTCCTTTCAATGGAATCATTCCTTTCCATGCCGTGCCATTCCATTCCATCCTATCCCACGCCATTCCAAGCTATTCCACATCCATATCCTTGTCCCTGTCACCAATCCTATCCCCATCTCCATCTCCATCCCCATCCCCATCCCCATCCCCATCCCCATCCCCATCCCCATCCCCATCCCCATCCCCATCCCCATCCCCATCCCATCCCCACTCACTGCCTCCTGCAGCAGCTGTTCCTGTGAGTAGATGCGCTGCCGGTTCCCCCTCTCACCCTCGATGACGATGCTGTATCTGGGGAGAGGCAGATGACAGAAGGGCTCAGCACTGCCACCCCACACCCCGCAGCTCTCCATCCCGCAGCCCCTGGCCCCACTCACATGTCGGGGGGCTGGATGGTGCGCACGCTGCCGGCATACAGCAGGCTGTCTTCCTTGGGGATGAGGATGTGCAGCCCGTCCCGCAGGTCTTCCTTCTGGATGGCGCAGGTGTGGAGTGGGGGGGAGCGGCGCCCGCCTGCGCTGCCCTCCTCCTCCTCCTCCGAGAAGCTGCTGTTGTCATCGAAGTCGAAGTCGTCCTCCACGGTGAAGCTCTCCAGCAGCTTGCTGACCGCCCGGCCCTTGCACTGTGGGACAGGAGCTCAGTGTGTGTGGGGGACACGGGTGCGGGGGCACGCTATTTGCGGGGCTGCTCACCTGCTTGCTGGCCACTTTGCTCTTCACCTTGCCCAGCTTCTTGCCCTTGCTCAGGATGGTTTTGGCACTCCGGGGTGAGAGGGCCAGCGAAAGGGCCCCGTTCTTCCGCTGCAGTGCGGGGACAGGAGGCTCAGACCCATTAGGGAGGGTCCCAGCACTCAGCCCTACCCAGCCCCACACAGTGCCACCTGTGCCCCACCGACACATGCATCCCTTGTAAGCCCCACACCCGCGCTTCCTTTGCCATTCCCAGCCCCATAGGTAACCCAAACCCCCACACCCTGCAGTCCCTCTGCCATCCCCAACAGCACTGACACCCGATGGCCCCCAGCACCCCCCAGCCTTGCGCTCACCCGCAGTGCTGACTGCAGCACTTTGCTCTTGCGTGTGGCCTTCTTGAGCCGCTCACTGGCCAGCCGTGCGCCGTCCTCCCTCGCCCCAAAGTGCCGGGGGTCCGCAGCACCAAACAGGCTGCAGGCAGAGGGGGGGGTGGCGGAGCTGGGGCCGCCGGTTACGGCCGCCCGGAGGCTTTCTTTGGGTTTTGCCTTCAGCTTCTTCTTGCTGCTCCCCTCCTCGCAGCCGCCCGCTTTGCGTCGTGCCGGCACCTTCTCCAGCTTGCCGGCACTCGGCTTGCCAGGCCGCTGCTTGATCTTCACCTCGCCCTCAGGGCTGCCCAGGCGGCACGGACCTGGGGGTTTTGGGGGGGAAAGGAATCAGCTCCCTCTGTCACCACTCAGGGGTCCTCCAAACCCCATCGTCCCCAAGTTCTGTTACCTAGCAGCCCCTGCCTTTCCTTCTTCTTCTTCGCCTTCTCGTTGGCCTCCATCTTCACCACAGAGGACGGGGAGGGCCCCAGCACAGCCATGGGCACTGAGGGCAGCAGAGCCAGGTCGGGCTCCTCATCCCCATCATCGCTGTCTGAGTCCTCGTTGTGCCCATCTGCAAGGTGGGGGGACAGGGCTGAGGGACCCCTTGTGCCCTACGGTGGCCCCAAGCACCCCCTGTGCTGGGCAGGGTGAGAGGTGGGTCCCAGTCCTTGGGGGTACTCGGGTACAAGTGGTCCCTGAGTGTGTGTGCAGCCTCCATGTAGCATCAAGCTCCCACTGCAACAGTCCCTGGATTGCAGCAGTCCCATCCCCTTGCTCCAAGCAGCCTCTCCATGCTGTGCAGCTCACTGCATGAGCCCAGCCCCATATGGGACCCCCCCCAGGTAATGCAGGGTCCCCTTCAGCCCCATGCCAGACAACCCCAGCCCCACACGAGGCCATCTCCGCTCCATGTGGGACACCCCAGCCCCGTGCCAGACTCCAAACCTGAGTGGGATGCCCTCAGCCCCACACAGGACCCCCCCAACTCCATGCAGGACCCCTCAGCCCCACGTGAGACATTCCCAGCCCCACGTGAGACACTCCCAGTCCCACGCAAGACCCCCATCCCTCTCCTTACCTTTGAAGCCAGAGATCTCACAGGGGTCGGGCTCCTGGGGCTGGTACTTGGCTGTGCCCTTGGAGCTCTTGGGGCGAGACAGCTTCTTCTGGATGCGGCCGCCAGGGTTGGGCTCTTTCCGTCGGAAGGGGCTGATGCCAGCAGGGAGCCCTTTGCTCTTCACTTTCTGCTTCAGCTGCGACACTTTGTGAGCCACCTTACAGGCCAGCTTGCTCTGCGCGCTGCTCTTCTTGCACCGCACCTTCTCCTGCGGGGAGAAGTGAACGGGGACGCTCAGGATGGAGGGCAGCCCCTCACCCCGCAGAGCCCGGCCCCGTGGCAGGGTGCACTCACCGCAGCCCCCGCCATGGCTCCGTACTGCTGCTCCAGTTTGCTGCGCTTCTTCTTGGGCTGGGGCTCGGCGCGCAGCTCGGCACACAGCAGGGACAGGCTGCTCTGCACCGCCCTGCGGGAGCGCGCCGTGGGCACCCACCGTCCCCCCTCGACCCGCACACCCCTCCTATTCTTTCCCCCCCGCAACCTTCACTCTCTTAAACGTTTCGTGACATAAAACCTCCAGATTAATTTTTTTCCTTTTTTTTCCCTCTGTCTTAATTGAAGGAACCATTTAGTGCAGATTTAACTATTATTACCAAATCATCGGGCCTGATGCCGCGCGCGCACACACACTCCAATCGTGTTTGGACTAGCTCGGAGGATTTATGCAAATGGGCCTGTCGGGAGAGGCAATTTGTAGCAGAGAAGGACAATTATACAGGGCCCGTGAGTGTGAAAACGACTGCGCCGGGCGGCTAATGGATAATAATAAAGCGCCGGCAGCAATGAACACCACTGCAGCGTGACCAATGACTTTATACAGCGCAGATAAAGAGGCTTTTATGCAACGCTGCTCCCGCGTCCGGGCGGGGGGAGGCCCAGGGATGGAGACCCCCGCAGCCAGGGACGGCCCCACCACCCCCATCATAGGGTCGGTCCCCTCTGTCCCCAGTGCGGGGACAGGCGGGCGCGCACCCCCCGCTCACTCACTTGACCTTGCGGCTCTCGGCCCGGCCCAGCGTGCTGCAGTGCTTGCGCTTCCTCGGCCGCCCCGGCCCGCGCCGCGCCGGGCTCCGCGAGCTCTCGTCACGCCTGCAGCCGCGGGGCGAAACCGGGGGCAGCCTGAGCTGGGCTGAGTACGGCCGGAGCTCAGTGCACCGATGGGCGCCGCCCGCACGATGCTCAGCGCGGCCCCGAGCGATGCCACAGGGCTGAGAACGGCCCCAACTCATCGCATCGCTGAGCGCCAGCCGTGATACCGCCGGGCTGAGCGCGGCACTCACAACTCATCGCACTGATGAGCGCTGCCCTTGCAGCATCGCCGGGCTGAGCACAGCCCCCAACTCATCGCACCGGTGGGTGCTGTGCCTTGATGCCGTCGGGCTGAGCACTGCCTCCTACTCACTGCACCGGTGACAACCATGCAGCTCCCAGTGCCCCCCCCCCCCCCCCCCCCCCCCCACGGGACAGGGATGGGGATGAGGACCTACTCGTGGTCGTGCCGCCGCTGCAGCTTCACCAGCTCACGCTGCTTCTCCTTGTAACGCCGCTGCAGCTCAGCCAGCCGCATCCGCACCTCCACCTCCTGAGTGTTGAGCTGCTCAATGGCCGCCTTCAGCGGGCACACCTGGGGATGGGGACACGGCCGTTCGCCCCGGGCATGGCTCACCCGGCACGGCACAGCAGTGTGGGGCGGGGGGTGCTCACTCACCGCCTTGGTTTTGGGGGTCCAGGTGTATTTGCGGCGCGGCACGCGGGCACGGGGCGGCGGGGAGGCGGGCAGGGGGCTGAGTGCTGGGGGGCTGCCCTCTCGGCTGGCTGCCTCCACTAGAGACCAGGCGGCTGCCACCGTGGCCAGGTTCTGTAGGTTGAAGGCCAGCAGGTCCTCGCCCTCCCCTGCCAAGAGCTGAGGTCAGCAGGGATGCACCAGAACCCCCCCTGTCCCATCTCAGCAAACGCTGCACTGGAGTGGCACCAATCACACATGTGGGGGCAGCACCCATGGGTGGGCTTAGGGAGCATTCCCGGAGGCTTGTGGATCCGGGGGCATGCAGGGCACACAGGGGACTGTGGGGTACGGGGTGCTGCATGCACACGCTGCCACAGCACATCCACAGAGCACGGGGATGGCACAAAGGGCGCAGTGTGTCCCCAGAGCGCTGCAGGGACGGGTGCATGGGAACAGCCAGCGATGAACTCATCGGTATACAGAGCCAAGGCCAGGGTGGGGAGGGACGCAGTGATGCTCCCCAACCAGAGCTCCATCTGTGGGAGGGGGATCCGTGGGGACTCCATGGCCCCCACACACAGACGCACAGCCCTATAGCAAGGTACAGCCAGCACCGAGCATGCGGGGCCCCGCGGCCGCCTGCCCGCTGCAGAGGCGCTGGGGAGATGCCAGGGCCTTCCCTGCAGGGGCCCCTGGGATTCCCTGGGGAAGCCGAGCTGGGAGGGAATCCCGGCGCCTGTCTGGAGCCAGCGCTGGAGCAGAGCCCCAAAGACGGACCGGGCTGTGAGCAGGGCCCTGCTGTTGGGCACCGTGCTGCTGCAGCTCACCGCGTGCAAAAGGCACACGCAGCCCTGCACAGCAAAGACGTGATTCAAACATGCACAAAGCCCCAAGCCGCAGACAGTGCAAGCGTGCAAAAAAGCCCTGCACTGCAAATATACAGATGATGCACACACAAGCTCTGCAGTGGAAACACGCACATGGTCCTGCTCTGCAATACGAGCACAGTGCTGCGCTGTGAGCAGGCACAGCTCGTGCATGCAGCGCTGCGCCGTGAAGGCACACAAAGCCCTGCACTGCCAGCACGGCATTCACACGGCCCTGTGCTGTGAATGCACACTGTGAGCGTGCACACAGCCCCTCCTCTGCTGCACGGCACGCGCTCTGCCCAGCACAGCCCTGCACACACGCTGCAGCCCCTCCACTGCACGACCTCTGCGTTGCATGCACCGCGCTGAGAATCCCTGGGAGGCACCGGGGGGGGGGCACAGCAATGGGGAGGGGGCGCACAGGGCTGCTCACCTTCCATGGCCAAGTCACAGCGGCGTTGGCGCAGCTCCAGTTCGGCCAGCTCGCTGAGCAGCGCGATGCCAGGCAGTCCCACGGTGCAGGGTGCAGGAGAAGGGGGTGCTGGGGGGGGCTCCCTGGGGGACCCCAGCGCTGGCAGCTCCCCCAGGTCGATGCCAGCGGCGATGAGAACCTCCAGCCCTCCTGTGCAGCACTGCTGCATGTTGGGTGCACGGCTGGGGCCGTCGCCCTCCTCCTCCTCATCACAGCTCCCCTCCGGCCCTGAGCCTTCGCTGTCACCTTCTTCCTCTTCTTCATCCTCCTCCTCCTCCTCTTCCTCCTCGCCATCCGGGGGGCCCAGCGGGGAGGATCCCTCTGTGGGCACCGGGTGCTGCTGCTCTACAGAGCTCTGCTCCAACGCCGCTGCTGTTTCCCTGCACGCCCCAAAGTTCTCCTCTCCGGGCACAGCGCCCGGCGCCGCAGCCAGCAGCAGGTGGTGCCGGTGCAGCACGGCACCCGGACCCTCGGCTGCAGCCCCCGTGGATGGCAGCTCCCGCGCAGCAACGGGCTCCTCGGCGGGGCTGAAGGTCCGTGACTGCTCGGGCTCAGCTGGAGGGGAGCCCGCCTGCATGGTGTCGGGGTCGGCGGGCTCGGCAGGGGGCACCTCCGAGAAGCCCATGCTGGACGCGGGGTAGCTGTACCCTGGGGGCAGGTCTGCGGGAACGAGTGATGCTCAGTGTGAGCTCAGAGCCCATTCCCACCTCCTCCTCCTCACTGCTGTGTCCCTACCTGGCTCCAGGGACTTGGGGTAGTCACGGGGCGGCTGTCCCTCCCCACGCTTGTCCTCGCCGTCGCTGCCCTTGCTCTGCACGGGGACGGGGCTGTCAGCCGGGGAGCGCGGGGCCACAGCAGAGCTGGCAGTGGGGCAGACGGGTAAAGTGCAGGGGGCCGTGGGGAGCGCCACGGGGCACTTGGCCGGGTGCCGCAGGGCCGGGGAGTGGCAGCAAGGGGACAGCTTGGGAGGCCCAGGTGCAGCCGAGGACATGCCCTTGGCCGGGGGGTTTAAGGCAACTGCTTTGTGAGAGGGCTTGAGGGGCTTCTCGGGACCCATGTTCTCCAGCTCCAGGGGCTGCTCCTCCGGCTTGCGCTGTGGGGAATGAGGTCAGCATGTGTCCCTGCAACACGTCCAGCCCCGCATCCCACCCAGCAGCATCCCACCTCACCGTCCCAGCCCCACGTCCCACCCCAACGCAGCCCCCACGCATCCCCACGTCCCCGGGGCACCTGGACGTGAGCCTGGCGCTGGATCTCGAGGGCCTGGGCCGCCCGCTGCTGCTGCAGGGCGTAGAGCTCCTGCTGTCGCAGGAACTGGGAGCGCGAGTACACAGGCAGCTGCCCCGTGTGCTGCAGGTGGGCGCTGGGACCCCGGCCTGGGTACATGGGGGGCCACAGTGACGCCTGGTCCATCACGTCAGCTGCAAGCAATGGTGGGGGGAGGAGGAGTCAAGCATGGACCCAAGAGAGGGTCATCCTGCAGACCCCGAAGGTGCATTCCCTCTCACCCTGCACCCAGAAGGACCCCCCATCTTCCACCCTTGCACCACAGCTGCACCCACATGGACTTCCCCATTCTCCATTCCTGAACCTCCCCCAGCACAGATGAGGACATGGGATGGGGTCACCCTGCAGGTCCTAAACACAGAGCCCCAGAATCCCATCACTTACCCCTGCACCCCCAACATCACCCCAAGGCCCCCCCAAAGCACAAAGCAAGGATGCCCCGCAGTCACCCCCCCACACCCACCAGCCTCACCCAGCGTGTGGGGGGTGCCGTGGGTAGGGGGCTCGGTGGGCAGGATGACGAGCTGGGTGGGGGGCTCCTGGGAGAGGGGGAAGACGGGCTGCATGGTGCTGGGCATGGAGGTGGGGAAGGCGGGTGGCAGGTTCTGGTGCAGCGCGGGGTGGCCAATGCCTGAGGAGGGGGGAGAGGGGCAAAAGGGGGCTGTCAGCAGTGGGGTGAGGGGGGCAGCCCCATGCTCCCATGTCCCCCCAAGTGGCACCGACCGTAGGAGTGCCCCCCCCATCCAGATGGAGGGGCTGCGGGTGCGGGGCAGCCAATGCGTGTGCGCCGGGTGTGCGTGGGCAGCCGGGTCCCCCCCGAGCTGCCCTGCTGGCAGCGAGGAGCCCCCCGCCATCATCAGGTGGGGGGTGAGGTCTCCGGGACAACCCCCCGAGGGGTGCATCCGTGCAAACTCCACCAGCTCCTTGTTGTCCCTGCAGGGAGAAACAGACCTCGGTGGCATCAAGTGGCACTGGGCCACACTCAGGTGGGTGACACCGTAAAGGGGAGCCCCATTCCCATCCCCCCTGGCGTGGCACTCACTGGAGCAGCAGCTCTCGTCCCGGCAGCCCCAGGCGCTCCTCACAGAGCCGACCCCTCTCCTCCTCTGCCTCCAGGTCGATGACGTGCATGGGCCGCGTAGTGCCGGCTGTGAGAAGACAGAGAGGTGAGCACGGCCCCAAAGGGACCCCTTGCCTCCCACCGCCCCCCAGCTCTTACCTTTGATGCCAGTGGCCGTCCTGCCCTGCCGGCTGGACCCACTGCCATAGGAAGGCTCAGGACGGCTCAGTGTATCCTTCTGCCGTGCCACGGCCACGGCGATGCCCACCGGTGGCTGCCGCACCTCACCCTCGCCGTGCCCCAGCTCGTGCTCACGGCTTCGGGCGCAGTCTGGCAGCTCCGGCTGCCCCTTGGCCGGGGGGGGGAACTTGGCATCCTGGTGGGCACAGCTGCCCTTGATGCCGCCCAGCCCCACGAAGGGAGCGGCCTTCTGACCCACGATAAGTGCTTGGTTGCTGTACTTGAGGAGATTCTTCATGGCCGAGACCTCATCCGGGGGGGTGGGCATATCCTGGCTCAGCACCGAGCCCTGAGTCATCAGTGCAGCCTGCTGCAGACCCGTGCCAAAGGGGTCCAGGTAGGAACCCTTCCTCTCCTCCGCCATGCCCATGGGGGGGCCCTGGCCCTGCACACCCCAGGGGGGCAGGGGGGGTGCGGTGTAACCCAGCGAGTTCAGCTCCAGACCTTTGCGCTGACCCTCGGACTGTTCCGCCTCGGCGCCGGTGCCGTGCTGTTGGTGCCGGATCCGCGCCACCTTCTGCGGGGGGGGCTCCTTGGGGCCCTTCTCTAAAGTGCAGCAGGAGGGGCCCAGCTTGGCGCCCAGCGGCTCGCCGTGGTGTGGGGCGCGGGCGCAGTCGGGGGCAGGCGGCACCTCGAAGTACCCCTTCTCCAGGGTGCCCTTGGGCGGGGGGCCGAGGGCACCATAGGGGGCCCCCTCGGCCGCTCCCCCGCCCCCCAGGTACTCCAAGCCCTTCAGCCGCGCGCCGGGGCCGCCCCACTCCATCCTGCGCTCGGCTTTGCCCTCGGCTTTGCCGTGGTGGAACGCAGCCCCGTAGGCAGCGCCGGGGTTTTCGGTGTCGCCGTGCCGCTCCTTGCTCTCGGCGCGCTCCATCCCGCAGCCCTCGGCCGCCACCTGGAAGGAGCGGCTCTTGTCCGTCAGGTGTCCCACCGAAGGCACGAAGGTGGCACCGCTCAGCTTCAGCTCCCGCCCGCCCTTCTCCGGCAGCGGGCACAGCACGTCGGGGCCGGCGTGCAGCTGCAGACAGGGGAAGGAACCGGCGGCCGCGGCGCCGAGCGGGGCCGGACCAGCGGGCACGGCGTAGGAAACGGCGTGGTGCAGCATCTGCCGCCGCTCCAGGCACTCTCCGTACGCCGGGGGGGCTTCGGGGGCGGCGGGCTCACGGCACGGCTCCTTGGCGCAGCGCACGGCGCGGGGCAGAGCGCTGCCGGCACAGCTGGGCAGCGCGGCGCGGCCGTCGCCCTCCAGCCCCTTGGCACCCAGCAGGCAGGAGGGCAGGTGCTTGGCGCCCGCCCGGGGGGGCAGCCCCTCCTTGCAGTGCCCCTCGGGTGGCACCGGCAGCACGGCGCGGTGCCGCTCCTTGCCGTCGTCCTCCGGCACCCGTTCCTTGCCGTCCGCTTTGCTCGCCTTCTCCTTGGCCGCAAGGAAGCGGTCGTAGTCCTTGGGGGTCTTGGGCAGGGGGCCGGCGTCGCGCTCGCGGCTGCAGGAGCCGGCGGGGGGGCCGGGGGCGGCGCGGGCGATGCCGGGGAAGCCGTGGCCGGCGGGAAGCAGGGCGGGCTGGGCGGGCAGGTTGCGCAGGTAGAAGTTATCTGCGGGGCGAGAGGAGCGGGTCAGCCCCCCTCCGGCACAGCGCAGCGTGTGCGTCCGCGGCCGTGCCAGCGCCCCGCTAACGAGAGGAGGAGCGCGGGGAAAAGCACGGCCTAATTAGCTCCATTACCCACCCAAACAATGCTCCCTATTAAGCGCCCGCCACAATATTTTGAAAAGCGAGAGTGGCAGCTGGGACGGCTGCCCACCACCCTGCGCCCACGGCTCTGCTCCATCCCGGGCACACGGCACCTGCTCCAGCAACAGCCCTCCGGGGGCACCCAGGGATGGGCACCGCGTCCCTGCACGCAGCACTGTGTCCTGCAGCCCCCACGCTGCAGGACGAATCCCCCACAGGCACCGCAGCGCCATTCCCAGTGCCACTCCGGTGCCACCCTGGTACCTGCCTTTCTGGCTCTCGTAGAAGCGGTGCTGGCTGTAGAGGACGTTGCTGTTCCCGTGGTGGTCCAGGTGGCTCATGGGCAGGAAGGTGGATGCCAGGCTCCCGGAGAAGCGGGGGTACCCCGGTGCTGTGGGGGGTGCAGCGGTCAGGGGGCCACTTGCTGCCCGGTGCCACCCATCGTGATGCACACACGTGTGCCATACGTGCACCTCTCCGTGCACGCTCTGCCCTCACCTCGCCACGCAGGGGCCGTGATCCCATCCCAATATACACCTCCTGCTCAGGGCAGCCCGGCACAGCGTGGAACTCCCCAACCGGGCCGAGCTGTCCGTCAGCCGCGTGTGCTGCCCGGTCCCCCCCAGCCCCCCCTGTGCGGCACGCAGGCCCCGGCACGCCGGCAGCCAGCTGGCAGCCACTCAAACTACCAGCTGGGCCGGGAGCCAGGGCCCTGCGCCAGCACCACCGCCCCACGCCTTAACTCTGTCGGCCCCCGCTCAGGTGGGGCTGGGGCAACGGCGTGCCGGGGGGCACCGCAGGGCCGCCCCCTCCCACTGCGGCCCCGATGAACCGCAGCTGCAGCTCATCATGGCACAGCGGTGGTTCCCATCATCCCAGCTCTCCACTGCACATGCAGCACCCAGGGGTCCCGCAGCACCTTCAGCATCTGAGTGCACCCCCGGACTCAGCACCGCAGAGTGCCCACCGGTGCCATGAGCTGCCTGGGCTTCAGCCCAGCTCTATGCACAGTGCTGGGGGACAGCACCTTCGTCTGCAGCCCCACAACACCCCCTGCATGCAGCACACCAAGCCTTGTCCTGTTCTGGGAGGGGGGGTCTGTGGGGTGTGCTCCCCCCTGCACAGCTCACTCACCTTCATGGGAGTGTGAGAACCAGATCTGGGAGGTGCCGGAGTGCGGCCCGCGGAAAGCCGGCTCTGGGGGGGAGGCTGTGGGGCCCGAAGGGTGGCTGGGGCCCCCCGAGCCCAGGCTGCCACTCAGGAAGCTCCCCATGAAGGACGAGGCGGGTGCACTCCCCATCAGTCCGCTCCCTGCTGCGGGGTGAGAGAAGACAGTCAGGGGGTGCCCTGAGCCATGCCTTGCACCCACATCCTCAGCTCCCGCTGTGCTGGTACAGTCACTCACCCCCTGCGCTTGCACAGCTGTGCACAGACACCTGTTGCAGGGCATCAGGAGGGCATCCCTTGTGCATGCACGCTGCTTGTGCACACACACTTGACCACACATCTCCTCGGTGTGACTGCACGAGGAGTGCCCATGCCCTGCCCTCATGTGTGCACCCCATGCACATGCAGCTCCCTGTGACCCCAGCACCGAGCTGCTGTGGGCAACCCCTTGCTGTGCCGTGCTGTGCCAAGCCAGACAGATGGGGTACACGGAACCATGCTGCTCCCAGTAGGGCAGCTGCCAGCCGCAGTAGCCGGAGCGCTGCCAGTGCCCGGGAGGCGGTGACACAAAGGCTGGGGACATGGGGACGGTCGCCTGTGACCGGGGCACGGCTCCTTGGAGCAACGCCGGTACATCAGGCGCTGCTTTGTCAGTGTGCATGTGTGTGTCCATGCACACGTGTGCAGGGAGAACAGCACAGCAGAGGATGGGGAAGGCAGAGGGCAGCCCCCGCCCTGCGGCCTGGGGGGTACTGGGCGCCCCGCAGGGACACCCCTGCCCCGTTCTTCGGGCCAAGCTGTGAGGTCATGGTGGAAACATCGCAGCCGGTAGCCAGCAGCCCCTCCACGCTTGGCCCCGCTCCTGCCTGCATGTGTTTGCCGACGTGGGCTGGCGGGGCCGCGGCCGCTCGGCCCTTCCCTGGCTCGGCACGGCTCGGCACGGCTCGGCACAGAGGACCGGTGCTGGCCGCCCGCCCGGCCGGTGCAGGAAGTGATGCTTTGCTTTCTAAGCCTGCCCACGCTCCCCGGCTAATCCTGCCGGGATGCCTCTGGGATGAGTGTCGGGGATGTGGTTTCAGGCAGCTCGCTCCTTCCTGCGCCGGCCGTCGGGGGCACGGCCGCAGCCCGCTGTGGCCCTGGGAACAGCCCCCACACCTGGGTCGGGATGCGGCACTGCGGCGACGGAGCAGAGGGACCGTGGTGCGGAGCTGGGAACGGCGACACAGTGAGCTCGGCAGGAAGCCGAGGGTTCCAGAAGGAGCCTCTTTCTGGAAGCTGTGAAACAGGCTGTGAAAAACACACAGCACACACACGGGGCCGGAGCGCACCCTCCCTGCGCGTCCCACCCATGACTCACGCCCCCTGGCACGGATGGGTCCCCAGGCGCATGCAGGCCCCCACGTTCCCACCCCGCTCGCACGCTCGGCTCTGCTCGAAGCCCTTCCCACGGCCTCGGCTCTCCCAGTGCGGGGCTGTGGGACGAAGGGCTGCTGAGGCCGTGCCGAACTCTCATCTCACCTCACAGCCACGCAGCACAAGGCTGTGCCATCCCACAGCCCCTCGGCCGGGAACTCCCTGGCATCGCTGCCCGTACCCCGAGGCCAGCGCTGTGACTCAGCCCTGCGGGCACCGCTCTCAGCTCTGCACCAAACTCCCCACACTGACAGCCAGCAGGGCCAGGACTCAGGGCACAGCCGTGGGGTCATCCCCGGTGTGCCCGCATCTGTGCCAACCGCACCACAGCACACAGCCACTCGTGTCCCACTGCCACTGCAGCATGAGAAGGGAAAATTGAGGCGCAGTGGGGACATACAGTCAGATTTGGGATCCCCCAATCGAGGCTGGACTGGACAGAGGAAAGGGTTAAAAGCGGAGCTCACCGCACTGCGTTCTGATCCCCGGCCAAACCGCGGGGGCCGGGAAGCCCATGGGGAGCGTGGGGGTTTTTCTGCAGGACAGCCCCAAGCCACCACCGGGTCACCACAGCACCGAGCGCACCCAGCCTCAGCGTGACCCGCAGGGATGGGCAGTGGGGGGTCAGGAAGGGTGTGAGCCCCCCCAGCGCTGCACTTCGCCCCCGCGCCCAGCCCGGCGCAGATGAGAATGTGTTGGGAAGGCAGAAAAGTTTCCCCTGGTGCTGAGTGGGGCCGCAGGAGACTCCGGCCACATCTGTTCTGGTCGAGCTGCTTGCTGGGCGCCCGCCCGGAACGGGGCGCGGGGCCACGGGCACACAACCAAAGCAGCGCTGCCGGGAAAGGGAGGGGGTCCCCGGCCGTGCTCCCACGCAGCATCCCTCCCTTTTTCCCTCCCTCCCTCTCTCTATGGGAAGGCCCTGGCTTTTCCCACGCCCCACTGCTCCCAACCTCACCGAGGCACGGGGGTCACGCACACCATGCTCCTGTACAAGGGTCACCCCCTCCAGCCCCCCTCGGGATGCAGCGGGGCCACAAGGACACGGGGCTGGAAGAGGGGCACTGCCCCCAGGATGCTGTCACCGCAGTGTCCCCGGGGCTGCCCCACGTGAGCGTCTGCGCCGTGCGCACCCCGTGGGGTTGGGTTACTCCCTCGGCTATTTCAGGGCTGGAACATTCCTAGCGGGGCCGTGGCTGGGGCTGCATGCTGAGACGTGGGGCTGGAGGGGACCCTCCCCCACCGGGGTCACCGGGACAGCACACAGGGGACGTGGCACATGAGGCTGAGGGCACAGCGGAGCCCTGGACCCCCCTCTGGGGACACCCCCCCCCCGCACGGCCCCCTCCTCATCCCAGCACAATGACAACACCGCGGTCATTAATAACCCCACGTCTGCCAGACAGCCCTGGAGGTGCCACTCCCAGCCCTGGGGACCTCACTGGGAGGTGCTGGGGATGCCCCCCCCCCCCCATCGCGTTCCCCTCCACGCAAAGCGCATTTTAACCCAACGTGGCCCCTTTAAATATTTGGCAAATAGCAAATAAGTGTAATATAATTTCCCCGCCGTTATAATTTAAGATTAATCCATATTGTTATGGCACTAAATAAATGCTGTAATATTGAAACGCCGTTCAAATTAGCTTGACAGAGTGCCAGAAGTACAATTAAAATGTTATCCGATGGGTAATCACAAGGCAGTCTCTCCGTGCTAAGTGCCACTTGCAATCTGTCGTCTTTTGACGGAGGGAAGGGGAGGACGGAGCAGAGCAGGGGCTGCACGCCGGCTCGCCGTGTGGGCGCACGCTGCTCCATGCGCGCCGCTCACGAGGACGCTGCAAAGCTCCTTGCACGACTGAAGCACGCTGCACGGTTGGCACGCTGCTCGGCACGCTGCTGTTGCACACCGTGAACCCCCCACTGCCGGAGAGGCCATTTTGGGAGCAGCTCCGTGCCCTACAATAGGATGGGGCCGCGGGGAAGCCAGAAAGGTGCGGGGCTGTCCGTCTCCCCGCTCAGCCCTATTCACCCCATGCAAATCCCCTCGTGCAAAGCGGTAGCAAACCTCACCCTGTGCATGCACGGGGGTCCCTATGCACAAAGCAGAGGCGAAGGCAGCAAAGCACTGCACCCCTGCCACGGGTCGCTGCCGGGCCCAGGAGACCCCCGGGTGTCCCAGCAGGGCTGAGTGCTGTCGGTGCTGGGGTTGGAGGCGCAGCTCCGTGCCCATCTGTTTCATTTTACGGAGCGGATAAAGAAGAACTCCAAGAATGAGATTATTGGGTGAGTGTTTATTTACCCGCTATCGCGGGCAGGAGGGAGGGGCCGCAGTTCAAAGCCCGTGCGAATCTTTGCAAAGTCACTCCATCGCCAAATCTGCTATTTTTACGTCCCGCTAGCACTGCCCGCTCGGCTGTCGGCACAGGGACACGGAGCGGCTGCAGGGGGGGGGGGGGGGACAGGAGGATCTGAGGGGTTGTGGAGAACTGCAGCCCTGGGCCCTCCCTCTGGGCTCAGCCCTGAGCCCCCAGCGCTGTCCCCAGCCCCCCCCCAGCCCACGCCACAGGGTCACCGCCTGAGCGCAGGAGGACAAAGGAGGGATGAGGGGGGAGGGATGGAGGGAGAGGACACGCAACCCCCCCGCCCCCCCCGTTGGATCCCAATCCCACCCTGTGCACAGATGGAGCCACCCCAGCACGATTCCACGAGATTCGGGTTTCTCAGCCATCCTGCTTTCCTTTTCCCCGACACATGTGCGCTCTCCGCCCCCCCCCAACCCCGCAGTAATCTTCCGCAGAAGTGTCACTAATAAGGAGTAGACAAGTTAATCTCAAAATCTGTTTTAACTTTGACACCTACTTTTCAGAACGCGGAGCGATCCCAGCACCGCAGCCCCCACGGCCCCGCATAGCTCCAAGCCCCGCTCCAGGCGAACCCCCCCGAACCCCCCATTGTGGGGCCACAAGGCCAAGCAGAATCGCCCCCATCCCCACCTGTTTTAGGACCCAACCCTGTCCCAGCAGCACTCAGCCCGAACCTGGAATGCAACGCACAGCTGTGGGGAGGAGAGCGCAGCACCGGGGCTGCAAACCGCACGGCGGCACCGGGGTGCAAAACAGCAGCGGGGTGCAAAGCAGGAGAAGGTTGCAAAGCAGGAGAATGTTGCAAAGAAGCATCGGGGCCACGGAGCACCGGCAGCATTGCAAACCCGGACTGCGTGGTTGGGATGCAGAACAGCACCGCACTGCCGGGCCGCAAAGCGGCACCGCGATGCAAAGCGGCGTAGGGCTGCAGCCCGGTCGCAAAGCAGTGCAGGGGTTGCAGCGTGTCCGTGCTGCAGAGCAGTCCTGCTGGCAGCACAGCTCTGTGCCGCTGCGCCGCGATCCCGGCTGGGGGTTAATCCATAAATACATCAGAAGGGCAAAAATCGCAGCCCTGACGCCGCTCCGGCCGCGTTTCCCACCCTCAGCTCATCCTGGGGGTGCTTCCCTCTCACCCCCTCGCTCCCCATCCCCAAATCAATGCAGCTGAGCCCCCCCGGCCCGTCTCACATCCAAAAGCAGCCGCCATCCGACGCGCCGCTCCGCCACAACCGCGCGGCCCTCAGCGACGCCTTTCACCAAACAATGCTACAACATCATTTCTCCCCCCCATTTTTTTTTCTTTTGCCTCTCCTTTAAACCCCCTTTCTCAGGGTTCCTTCCGAACCCCCCCAGCCCCGCTCAGCAGTGCCTCCTGGGAGCTGTAGTCCGACCCGGAGCCATTTGGGGAGCTCCGCTGCCCGCAGTGCCGGCGCTGCTCAGCCCCGTGCGGCGGCTGAACGGCTCCGGTGCCAACAGCGCCGAATATTTTTAGCTCTTTCTGTTGTTGGCTTTGGCTTCTTTTTTTTTTCCCTTTTTTTTTTTTTTTTTTTCTTTCCCTTTCCCTCTTCCACCCCCCTTCTTTTTTTAAATTTTTTTTTATTTTTTATAAAATAATAATAATAATAATAATTCGTGCCACGGTATTTTTAGCCCCAGCTCCGCGCTACGCCTCGCAGCACCGCTCTGCTTTCGGACTCCCAATGTATTTCCCTCCCCTCCCCAACCTCCGGGGCCGCTCCACGGCCGCAGCCACAAAGCGAAACCGCTCCGGAGGGGTCCGTTCCGCGTCCCCCCCTTCACCCGCAGCCCCCCCGGCGCGGCCCGGCCGTGCCCCCCGCCCTAATCCACGCACTAATTGTAATCCCATTACAGCAGAGCGAATTCGAGCCGGGCAGCAAAACGGCGACGGGAGCCGCGGCTCCGCGTCCCCCCCGCACCGCGCACAAAGCCGCGGCCGCGCTCCGCCGCATTCTTTTTCCACCGCCCATAACAGCGCCCTTGTTCTCCCCGCAGCACCCCGCACCCCTTTATAAAAAATTATTCCTTTTATTTTTTTTTTTTTTCCTCCCCGAATTTAATTCCTCAACCTCCCCCCCGCCCCCCCACCTCAACGCAGCCGCTGACCTGAGTGCGTGGCCATGGAGATGGGCGCGGGGAAGAACTTGGCGGGCTGGAAGGGGCCGGGGGGCGCCGAGCCCGGGCCGCGCCCCGCACCGTGCCGCTGTCCGAGGCCGCCCCGCTCCGGCAGCAGCCGCGGGGCGGGCGCGAAGTCGCGGCCGTCCATGGCGGGGCCGGGCCGGGGCTCTCAGCGCCGCTCCGGGCCGGGCCGGGCGTCGCGGGGCCGCGCAGCGCAGGGCCGGAGCTGCGGGCTCATGGTGCTGCGCTCCTGGGGAACGAGAGAGAAAGCAGAGCGTGAGCGCGGCCTGCCCGCACCGCGACCCGCATCCCGCCGCCGGATTTCCCCGCAGCCCGGAGCCGCCGATATCCCCGCCGCTCCCGGTTCGCGGCTCCGTGTTTCCCCGCCGCTCCGCCGCACGATTCCGCGCTCGTTCCGCCGCTCCCGGCGCGCCGTTCCCCGCTTCTCCCGATCCGCGATCCCGGCGCTGCGCGGTCCGTAATTTCCCCGAATCTCCGGCGCTCCGCAGAACCGATTTTCCTTCCCCTCCCGCTTCCCGGCCCCCATTTCCCCTCTCCCCGCCGCACCACCCCTCGTTTTTCCGCTACTCCCGCCGCGTTCTCCCCGTTCTCCAGCCGTTCCCCGACACGAACCGCCCCGCCGTCCCCGCTCCCCGGCGCGCCGCTCGGCACGGCCGCGTTTCCCCGCGCCCCGCATCCCCGCGGTGCCATCCCCGGCTCTAGCCGCCCTCCTTCGGGCCGGTCTTTCCCGTTCTCTCGGTGCCCGCCGCTCGGAGGCCGCACAAAGCGCCGGGGCCCGTCGGGGCTTTGCATTGTTCTCGGCGGCGGCGGTCGGGCCGATCCCGCGGGGTGGCGGCACCGGGGCCGGGCGGGCGGCGGCGAACAAAGAGAGAGAGCGGAGCGGAGCGGGGCGCCGGGACCCCGCGGCCCCTCCCGAGCGCGGACGGCCGCGGGGCGCTCGGCGGGGGAGAAGGGAGCGAGCGGAAAAATGTGTATTTAAAAATAACAACCATCATCATAGGAACGAAATAAAAAAATCCAAACATTAAAAAAAAAAAGACTAAAAGCGACGCAAGAAAAAAAAAAAAGCAAACAAAACACAATTTTATTTTTAAACGCGCGCAAAAAAAAAAATAAATTAAAAAGCGCAAAAAAAAAAAATTAAAATAAAACCCCCCAAACAACAACAACAACACCAACAAAATCCCATTTAATTGCAGTTACTTACGGGAGGGGCGTTCCGCGCGCGGGGCGAGGGCACGGCGGAGCGGCGCGGGGCGGCCCTGGCGGGGTGCGCACGGAGCTCCGCCGGTACCCGCGCACTGCCCATGCACCGGCTGCTCCTGCAGAAAGGGAGCGGGGGCCCCGCCGCGCCTCCCCGCCCGCCGCGCACTCCGCCGCGCGACGCGCCCCGCATGCTAATAAGCGCGTGCCGCGCGCGCGCCCCCTGATTGGCCGCCGCGCGGCGCTCGCGCCCCGCCGGCCTCCCCCCCCCCCCTCCTTCTCACCCCCCCGTCCTCCCCCCCCCCCCCCCGCGCGCTCATCCCCCCCCCCCCCCGCCCGCCCCGCCGTGCGTTGCGTCAGCGCCGCCCCCCA